ATCTTTCAACTCTATCAAAGGCAAACATTCCACCTAATGGTATAGATTTTATGGCCACTGGAGGAAATCCCACTGGTCGATACACTAATGGAAGAACCATTGGTGATATTGTTGGTAATTTTTCTTCCCCATTTAATCTTTTGAACAAAATGATTAACCCATTTTACTACTTTATATCTGATCTCACTTTTGTTTTCATAAAAAGGAGAGGAGCTCGGACAACCAAATTATGCAGTGCCATTTTTGGCTCCAAACGCAACTGGCAAAGCTTTACTGTATGGGGTAAACTATGCTTCAGGGGGAGGAGGGATTCTAAACGCAACTGGAAGAATATTTGTCAGTACTTTTAAGTTTTAATAACTTGATGGGTCAATATATATGCATATTAGAAACAGATAAATTAAATCTGATTATGTGACGTGTTTGTTGAATATACATGAATTCATCAGGTTAATAGGATTGGAATGGATGTTCAGATAGATTACTTCAGCATAACAAGAAAGGAGATTGATAAATTGCTAGGCAAAGCAAAAGCGAGGGAGCATATTATGAAGAAATCCATATTCTCAATCACAGTAGGAGCAAATGATTTCCTCAACAACTATCTTCTCCCGGTACTCTCCGTCGGAGCTAGAATCTCTCAAAGCCCAGACGCCTTCATCGACGATATGATCACTCACTTCAGATCCCAGCTTACTGTACGTACATTAAACATGAACATCTGTATCAATCATTTCATACATAATCTTAAAAACTGAGTTATATATCTTCACATATATGTTGGAAATGAACGGCAGAGACTGTACCAACTGGATGCTCGGAAATTTGTGATCGGTAACGTTGGTCCTATAGGATGCATTCCCTACCAGAAAACAATAAACCAGTTGAACGAAGACGAGTGTGTGGATTTGGCTAACAAGCTCGCACGACAATATAACGCACGACTGAAGGATTTGCTTGCTGAGCTGACAGACAACCTTCCTGGAGCCACCTTCGTGCACGCAAATGTCTATGACTCGGTGGCAGAACTCATCAAAAACTACAAAAACCATGGTACTAATTCAGACAAATTAAACAACAGCACAATACACATGTGGGATTTAATATGCTAATAATAATCTCTAATTAATCCTTGTGGTGTGTACGAACGTGATCGAATATGCAGGGTTTGTAACAGCAAGCAAAGCATGCTGTGGAAATGGGGGTCAGTTTGCAGGAATAATTCCGTGTGGACCAACATCAAGCATGTGTTCAGATAGGGACAAGCATGTGTTCTGGGATCCTTATCACCCAAGTGAAGCAGCGAACCTAATACTCGCCAAACAGCTTCTGGACGGAGACAAGAGATACATATCTCCTATGAATCTTAGGCAACTTCGAGACCTTTGATTAATGTTTTTTCCCATTCCGTACCTCTCTGTCTCTCTGTGTAATGCATCCTGCCTCTAATGAATTCAACTATAAATAAAATAAATAAATATTATGTGTTTCTGAGTATTTTACATCCAGTTGGCTACTTCGTTCATCCCTTGGGGGGTAGTTTCCACTTTCAAGTAGATATGGGTGTGATTTTTGATTTGTCGCTTAGTGTGGTTTTGATGGTGACTCTTTTCCAACTCCGTGATGGACCTGGAGAAGGAGGAAGTATGTTGTTGTTGAACGACTTGCCCGCCTTGGCGCTTTCAAAAATCCAACTACCTTCTATGACTTTACATCAATCTGCTCTTCTTTTTTTCCCCCCCTTCTTCGCAACATTCATTCGTGAGAGAGATCAGAGATGAAATGATATGACGAGTCACTTTTAATTGGACCGTAATTTCCCAATTTGGTGGTTTCACCAGATTTTTCTCTCTCCGAGGAATTAAGGATTTTTATGATGTCCATTCAATCACTTTTTTTTTTTGTCAAAAAATATCAATTGTCCTTGGACCAAAAAAAAAAAAATAAATAGAGCACACCAAATATGCAGTTGACAACCCACGGCTTTTTGGAGAAAAACCCAAAAAAAGATTTTTTAAAAATATTTTCACACAAATAAAAAAATACTTTTTATATATTTATTTTATATATCCTAAAATTATTTTTAAAATTATGGTTTTGGTTTCTCTAAACTAGTGTGTGTATATAAATTCGGTTCTTCAATTGAATTATTTTTTGGGCAGAAAATATAATATAGTCCGCAACTTGTGCGCGTGCACACACAATGATGAAAGAACATAAGCCAAAAATGAAAATAAGAAAGGGAAGGCAATGATAAGAGATCATCCCATACTCTTTCACTCGGGTGGTAATTATTCTGGGTGAATATTCAAGCCCGTGAGTATCGGGTAAAATTGTCTATTATTTCCACATGACACCATCCACTTTCTTATTGACGAATTTGACGCCTGATTGATAGCACTACATGTCACAGCCTTGATTGTTTTTTTAAAAAAAAAAATTCAAAAGAAAATCCTAAGTTGAACATTATTTTTTTTTATAAAAAAAAGTCACAAATTAATCTGGGGGAAACCTGTCATGCATGGAAAGCTATGCTTATGAATAGCATTTCAACTTGACATATTTGATTTGCATTGCGCATAATGGAATGAAAAGGATACAAAAATTATGACTATATCTTATACATAAAAAGAAGTTAAAACAGAAATGATAGGAAGAAGAACAGAACAACTGAAGACATGATGATGCGTGGGAGGAGAGTCCGGGAGTGGAGGGCGAGGGAAAAGTGGAGGGGTGAAGAATGATGAGTAATAATAGGAAGAGGGAATGGTAATTCCATGAGATAATGATGGAATTAGGAGGGTGGGGAATCACAGAGATGCAGAAAAGGCCAAAAAGAGAGAGGGAGAGAGGGATATGATTCTGAAAGGACTCTGGGAAGGTCAGTGATTATGGGCGACCCATTTGCACACTTGGAGACTCCTCATCCTCATTCATCCTCCCTTCGCCCCCACACACACACACTCGTACCCCTTTTATTCTAAATTTTTAACTCACTCTAATATCCTGTTCATAATTTTAATCAGATTATAATTCAATTTTTGAATTTTAAAACTCCCGAGTTGTCAATTTTATGAGGCATAAATATAAAATATTCTCCTATTTTCTATTTTCATTGTTGTTCTTAGGATTCAAGAAAATAGAAGATTATTGTGTTGGATTATTATTATTATTATTATTTTTGGATTGGGCTGGGACAGCGACGCATGATTGTTTGGGTGGGACAGGCCGGGGGCGAGCGTGCCACTCTTCACCGACAACACTCTCTTGCCATCTCTGGGTCTGACACCTGTCGCGGCATCAGGCCCTTCATTTGCCATCGACCCGCCCAGGCCTATGCTGTTTGTCGGCTACTGGGTACATGGAAGCGGGAAATCCGGTCCGGGAGAAGGGTACGGAGGCGGAGTAGGAGGAGGGGGGAGGAGGAATCTGATGCGGACACGACGCGTCCGAAATCAGAGGGGAGACCCAATTATTGCTCCCCACGCTAACCCGACACTCATGATTCTGTCGCCACCTCCCCCTGCCCCACCTACTCAGTTACTTCCACTATTCAGCCCGCCCAGCCACCTTCGAATCTCCCCCCACACCCCCCTTCCGTTTCTTTCCCTTATTCCTCCTCCCATTGGGCCCCACCCCTTCCTCTCTATTCAAATCTAGGTACTAGTAGCTCTCTCTCTCTGTCTCCTCGCCGTGGAAAGTTTACAACACAATAATATCATTATGTTTAAGGTTTTTATTCATTTCTGGCCATTAGTTGTTTATCGAATGCTAAAATATTCATTTCAAACTTTTAAAATAATCTTTATTCGGGAATACATTTATTAAATTACTCAGACCAGAACACATATTTCATTTGATGATTTAATAAAAGGAATCACGTGTTTAACATATCTAACAAGTTCCTCATTAACTGAATGAATGGTTTTATAAACTATCTTTTCTATATTGATATACAGATATTTGAAAGTGTTGGCAAAAAAAAGAAAGATATTTGAAAATATAAAAGAAACATATTTCTTCCGAACTCATCAAGATTTTTTCCCTAAAACAAATTTTTTTTTGATAATATGCCTTTTTGTCCATATGTTTATTTGAAACATGGTTAAATTGTCTATCCCCTTTATTGTTAGCTGGGCAAATTATTTATTGATTTGGATTATCACAGCAACTTTCTTAACGAGAAAACTGCAAAAACCAAGTATAGGAGTAGCACCAAGGCACAAGGAAAAAAAAAAACATTCATTCCATTGTAGTACTTGCCGTATGGTTTACTCTCAAGGAAACAGTCCTAGGAGTATTAGAATCAAGGTTTGATTATAATAATATGATGATTAACGAATTATTAAATAATATTAAGTCTCCCTCCATGACATGATAGGGAGAAAATAATGAGGGAGACCAAGTCGAGAATCCAATTGACTAGTTATCGGAATGGCGGATCCCGGGCACAATTCTTGAAATGTGTTGCCTTGTCAGAAGAAAATAATGTGAGCTACGGCCTATAAGGACTACTTACAATATGGTAGAACCCTTCCTCATAGCATAGGCATACTGTTATGGTATTGACTAGGGAAGGAAGATCAGATTTCGATGCTGAGCCTGAGACCATATATAATAATAATAGAAAAGAAGGCCCGTAGGTGAGTGGGGATTGGATAAAGCCAAGACCAGAGGCTTCATTTGTGCATATAAAATTAGCAACGTGCTTGACTTATTTTAATGGCCTCCTCCCCTGATTATCATTCCTGGTCTCTCTAAGTGGGAGCTAACACAATCTCATCTTATTATTTAAAATATGTATGGATTGATTTGGATTTCACTGGATACTAGATTTCATTATTTGCACTTATATTGGTCATCACCCAAATGCATGCATCTGACTCACAACTACCTACCATACACCACTAGAATTCTAAGTGCCTCCCACACTATATATGACCTTTCTGCACCCTCGTCTTATTCTAGGATCCAAATGCAACAAAACCCATAAAAAATATAAATGATTAAATTTATTGAATTTGTATCAGGATTAAGGATTGAGCCTGCTTAGCCGGCCCAAGCAGAGGTTCTTCTGGAGCCGACTGAAATGCCGTGCTTAACAGAACACTGTACTAAAGCTGATCCACTCTGTCTCATATAAGCCTCAGAACTTGTCTCTGTTTGAACCACAGATATTCTCTCCACATCTTCTCTCTCTCCTAATCCCCATAAAAGCCCTCTCCCTCCTCCCACCAACAACCAAACCTTTCGCCTCATTTTCTTCCTCAAGCAAAAAGACAACTTCTTCCTCCTCCATCCTCATTGAGTGAACTTTGCTTATCCCACGTAAAGCTAATATTTTTCCTGCTTGATTCGTGTCCCAATGCCGTCAAACTCCGGCGACAATCCCCGACCATCCAAGTCTCAGGCTCCGCCACCGGAACAAGAGCATCTCCCATGTCCTCGCTGTGACTCCACCAACACCAAGTTCTGCTACTACAACAACTATAACTTCTCCCAGCCGCGCCATTTCTGCAAGGCTTGCCGACGCTACTGGACTCACGGTGGCACCCTCCGTGACATCCCCGTCGGTGGTGGCAGTCGTAAAAACGCGAAACGCTCTCGCACCGCCTCTACGGCTTCTTCCTCCGTCACGGCGACTTCTTCAGTTTCTACTCAGGACCACCCGCTTCCTACAACCCCTGTTTTTGTACCCATGTCGGCTGGCCAAGGGGGGTCCATGCCGTTTGGGGGCAACGGTGGAGTTGAGAGTGATTTGAAATCTAGTATGGGAATGTGTGGAAGCTTCACTTCTTTGCTTAACAACACCACCCAAGGGCCTGGATTTCTGGCTCTAGGCGGGTTCGGGCTCGGACTTGGCCACGGGTTTGAAGATATGGTTTTGGAAATGGAAGAGGGGGTTGGGCTTTTCCTGGAGTGGTGGATGGCGCCAGCATTAACGGTGGAGTTGGGGCTTCTGGCGTCGGGAATTCATGGCAGCTAGAAGGCGGCGAAGGTGGTTTTGTTGGTGGTGCAGACTGCTTCTCTTGGCCAGGACTTGCAATTTCAACACCTGGAAATGGTCTGAAATGAACTTGTTCATCTTTTTTCTTTTTTTGACTTTTATTTTGACTCCCTTCGTGCAAGGGAAGGTTCTCTGATGGTTTAGAATCTGGGTTTAGAGTTTAGCTTACTGCGTGTTTGGGGGTATATTTATTAGAGACATTAGAAAAAACACTAAGACCTTTTTCTTGTTTCCTTTGTTCCATCAACTATCTCGTTCTGTGTACGCTACTGGTGTCTACTTGTCCAGTGTTAAGCTGTGTGAAATTTCTGCAATATCTGTATCTGATATAATTTCAAACTTCAAAATCGTCTGCTTAACCAACCTCAAATTCTGATTCAGCCATTGCCTTGCAGTGGTAGTTAAAAACAGGGATTAAAAAAAAACTAGCAATTACTGACTCCAGGAATGTGCATTTGTTGTGGAGTTCGCATATTGGACAAGAAATTAGAGATAAATAAAGTATTATTGTTGATCAATAGTGGGGTTAGGAAGCTGGTGAGTGTTGTCGCCTGGTTATTAAAAAAATCGAAAAATTGTCGTGGTCGAGTTGTTTATTACTCTCTTTCTCATCAATCCACATGCCAGTGATGATGTCTGTGTTCGTATCATAATGAGGCATACATGTTCCCAGTGAATCACGTTTTCCTTGGAGGATATGCTCTTCGTCTTCATTTGTTTTGTTCTTTTGTTACTTGCGGATACACTTTTGTTGTTTTCGAAGTTATAGCAAGTTTGTTTTAGAATTATTAGCAACCGTTCAGTTTTGTTGGACAGTTAGGTAATTTACTGTTCAGGGAGGGGGTGGTTGGTATTGGCATTAACTGATTGCCTTTCAAACTCATCAAATTGCCATAATCTGCGCTACACAAACCTGGAAATTAGTTGTATTCATGATGTTTCTAATAGATATCCCTCTGGGGAGTTATCCATTAAGGCCAATCCAAGTGAATTTCATGTTCTGGAAGATATTCTCCTCCTCGTCGTCGTCGTCTTCTGTCTGTTCTTTTGTTAATACGCATGCGCCATTATTGTTCTCTATTGGAGCACGTGTGTTTCGGCATTACGAGTAACCTTTCACTTTGGCTTCACTGGTTAGCAAATGCGAAGGGGATGACAGGTTGGGAGAGAAGTGGCAAAACAAACTTGCCTTTTTGAGTTTTGACACATTAATTATATACTACTATTTTTTTGAAAAAATGAAACTTTTGATTGAATTTGCGCCAACGTTCGAATTCTCATTTTTAGCGATGTAATCTTGTTTCGTTTTAGTCAGATTTAAGCAGTTTTTCTTGGACCAAAAAGGAAAAAAGACTTGAGCAGGTTTTCGTAGTTGAATTTGGTTCAAGAGGTGTTCAAATTGGATTAGAATGGGGGATGTAGTAGGAGGATGGGTCCCACCGTTTGCTATCTCTTCTCTCTCCTGTCCTTCTATTGAAAATGGAGAGAATTACAGTCAAATCCCTTATAAGAGAAATAATTATTAAAAAATTTTAATAACAATCTTAACAGTCCATAATAATAAGTTTTGGAATGAGAATGATAATTTTTGAGATTTGTTTTTTAATCGTTTTTCTTACTTTGGATCTCATTATAATTCTTCTTTGAAAATATACCCGATAATCATATAATTAACTTCTCTTGAGCGGCTTTGGAGGTATTTGGTACCATAAAAAGTACTCTTAAAAAAATTTAATTGAGATAAACTTCTTTGTATATTTATTTTGTATATTATAAAATTACTTTTAAGATTTTGATTCCATCCAAATGTTTTTTAAAAAACTAATCATGTTCTGGCAAAACAAAAAAATCTTGCTAAATTTTATAGAGAAATGCGTAAACCTTACTTTTACTGAGATTACTTGGATCAAAATATATCGAACTTCCATAAAATTCGGGTTGAGTATAAATTTAAGGATACAATGAATGGCATTCTATTTTTTATAAATTAAACTTTTTTGTATTTATAGCTCTCACTTTTAATACAAAAGTATATTTATTTATATCTAAAACTTGGTTTTAAGCCTGCAGCACCATTATTGTTCTAGCCTAAACGAAAAAAATGAAATGCTATAGAAGAAAATTATATAAAGCTACTATTAAATGTAAAATAATATATATAGGTAAAACTTAATGATAAAATCAGATACTCCTTTATATAATAATTGTCGACTAATAATTATAATGTAATATATATACTCGTACCATACATTTCGGTTTCTGTGTAATAATGCAGGTTTGGTATATGCCTTGAAGAAATTAGCAATCATGTGAACCACTTTTATGATAAACACCGCGTGGATAATTCAGGAAAAAAAAAAATTGACTATCCATTCTACAAAGATGGGCCCCGCTCTTTCAAGACTGAATTGTACTTATTCTACGCAGTTGGGCTCTTTTTCTACCAACATCCACCCATTTTTTTTAACATCAATCAATTAAATTTAAATACTACCAATCCTAATTATAAAAATTAATTGACTAATTTAAAAAAATTAAATTAATTATTTGTAATAAATAAGTATTATTTTTTCTAAAATATTTTTTTTAATCAAATGTACATTGGCTAAAATTATCATTATTAGAAGAACTACTTTAAAAAATGCATAAATATAAGAAATAAAGTTAATTGAGATTTATATTCAGAACAAAATAAAAGTCAAATAAAATTTTATATTAAGAACCGGAAGTATAACAAAAATATGTATATCAAGTGATTCTCACAAGAATGCCCATGACAGGCACTTATACAAAAAACGCGAGCTCTGATTTAAAAGGATTAATTAGTTGGCTCCATAATAACTCATTTTAAAAAAATAATTCTGGTTTCATTCTGTCGACGTTGAATTATGATTCATTTCTAGAAGGGGCAATTGTCAATCCCATCATATTCATATAATCATATGTACGGCCTTAACTAATATGGCTACGATTTTCAATCAGGTGAATGATTTATATATATATATATATATATATAAACATATTCGTTACCATTTAATCATTTTAACGGTTTATTTTTTAGAATAATTAAACATCTAAAAAATAATTTATGTTTTTGAAATAATTTTTATTATTATTTTCATTTTAAAGTGGTCCTCAACGCAAAACCAAAGAGTTATCGAGAGCATCCGCTCATCATAACGTTCTCATTTCAAGCACTTAACTTGGGAGGATAAAGGCGGGTGTTTTGGCCCCGATTTTTGCTCTTTAGTGTTTAAAGAGGGGTTCTTTTGGATTCTCTTGTCAAGTCCTAAAGAAGGATCATAGTTTGTCACCAGAAGAATTTCTGATAGAAAATAAAAAAAAATGTTATTTTCGGTCTTTTCGACCACACAGCTGCAGCCATTGTTTCTACTACGACAACAGCAGCAGCAACAGCAGCTTCTTCTGTTCATCAAGGATGCAACTCCCGCTACTTACGATACCAAGTGGGAGGATCTCCATCCTCATTCTCAGCAGATTCTTCTTCAGATTGAGTACGCTTCTTTGTGCTTCTTTCTTTTAATTTCTGTATCGCAAGTTTCTGCAAAAATGTGGATAAAAAAGAGAGGAACAATTCATGGTTTGTGCCCGTCTCCTATCTTGTTGTTCAGAAATCACACAACATGACTTCTGATGAATGATTAACTGATTTTTTTTGCCCTTGTCTTTTTGTTGAAGAATTTTCGGTTATACGATCTTTTCATAATTTCTTGTCCGTCTGCACTATCAAATCGTATCTTCATAGCTGCTTGTAATTGGTACTAGAATGGAAGTCATTTGAAACTTAAAACATGCATTCAGTTTGAAACCGGTATTTGGTGTCGGTTTATTGTATTGATTATTATTGTTAGACTCTAATACACCTTGTAGGCTTTCACACAGACTAGTGACAAAAATATATTAAAAGTTGGCGACCAACCTTACAAACTGCACAAGAAGGTTGCATGTCGATATATAGGGCCACTTGTTGTGCCTGCCTCAACTGCCATGTGGCATATTTTATAAAATTCGTGTTTGTTCTTTGTATTTTTAACTGTTCTCTGTTAGACATTAGAGTATAGGGATGAGAGCCAGAGATTAGATCAAAGCAGTCGTCTCTATAAATATTTAGTTCCAAATGATGACTTTAAGTCTGATGCCAGCCATATTGTTCAGGTTCTCCATTTGCCCTCATGTTTCTTTGATAGTCTTTCTAAAACCACATGATGTATTCGTCCCCATGGTGGTCAATTATCTGTTTCATTATTGTTATAACATAGACAAATGCTTTTTATGCTTTAAGTTGGTTATGATTCTGTCGGTTATTAAAGTTGTGGAGGGTTTTATAATAGGTAACCTCTGCCTATACAATGGGACATCAAAATTCGGAAGTATCTTCTCGGCTAAAGCATGTCTATCTGGAGCCTCAATGCTAATTTATTTGCATTTGAATTTGTTTTAATCTATGAGATGCTAAAGAGTTCTGCTGACAGTTTATATGATCTTTAGATGTGACGGGGGTTTAGCATGTAACGAACCAAGGGTCACATCATCGCTTGGGATTAATTAACCCGACAGCACCTTATGTTGGCTGTTTTCGTTATTGCTGGTCAACTGAAAATATGGCCATTTTTAGCTGAAGTCAAAATATAATTTCAATTTTCCGTGTGGTTGTTTTTGCTTATTTGAAACTTGAAAGAATTGTAGTTGAAAATTTAGTTGACAATAAAAGACTTAATTTTTATCACAAAAAAATAGAAGACTTGATTTTATGTGGTGAGACAGATCTCTGTTAATCTGTAAAAGGAAGTTCGTAGTCCATTTATGTTTTATTTCTCCTCTTGATGTGACAACTTTTTCTTTCATTTCTTCATTTCTGTTCTATTTTCGTGACTTGCTATGCTATTTGTTTGTATTTTTATTAGAAAAAATAAGAAAAGTTAATAATTAATTTTGACTGGATTAGTTCCTCTGTCTCTTGTGATTTTGTTCTTCATCTGGTGAACTTCAATAGTTATGTATAGATTGTACAATAGCTATCTTCTTCTGTTTGATAGGTACTCGGTAGCATCAGTGCTGCCATGGAATGACCAAGAAACTTGCAGCAGGAACTGACGTCTGCTGTAAAAAATATATTACGCAACACAGAGATGACGGTTCGTTCTTCAAGGTTCCTTCATCCCAATAAGGTGAATGCCTTGAGCACCACTGCTCCGTCACAGACTGCTGTAGTGACTATTACGCCTACATTGAGTAGTCCACCACCAGCTACATTAATGCCTGTGCCTGATTTTTACCATGGGCTTCCGAACAAACCATCATCCTTCTTATGTCAAACATTTTCAAGATTTGAGAAATATTTT